CCTCTTCCAGAAACCGCCCCCTCCCCCCCACTCACCGCCGGCAAACGACTCCTGGATCCCCACCACCGTGCGCACCATATCCCCCACTGCTGTCCCCAGCGCCACTGTCCTCGCCACCACTGTCCCCGCTGTTCCCACCACCGTCCCCACTGTCCCCACCACTGTTCCCACGACTGTCGCGCAGCTGTCCCCACTGTCCCCACCACTGTTCCCACCAAGGTCCCACTCTCCCCACTTTCCCCACGGTCCCAACCACTGTCCCACTGTCCCTACTGTCCCGGCCGCTGTCCCACTGAGCTGTCCCACTGTTCCCACCACTGTCCCCAGTGTCCCCACCAGTGTCCCCACCAGTGTCCCCACCAGTGTCCCCACCACTGTCCCCACTGTACCTCTGTCCCATTGTCCCACCACCGTCCTCGCCACCGCCCTCGCCACTGTCCCCACCACTGTCCCACTGTCCCCACCATATCCCCACACTCCCCACACCACTGTCCCCACCACCACCGTCCCCACCACTGTCCCACAGTCCCCACCATTGTCCCAGTCCCCACTGTTCCCACCCTTGTCCCCGCTGTCCCCACCAGTGCCCCCACCAGTGTCTCACTGTCCCCTCTCTCACCGCCATTGTCAACCCACGGTCCCACTCTCCCCAGTCTCCCCACTTTCCCCACCACTGTCCCACTGTTCCCACCACTGTCCCACTGTCCCACTGTCCCCGCCGCTGTCCCACTGTGCTGTCCCACTGTCCCCACTGTCCCCACCACTGTCCCATTGTCCCAACTGTCCCCACCACTCACCCCACTGTACTACTGTCCCACCACCGTCCTCACCACCGCCTTCACCCCCAGTGTCCCCAGCAGTGTCCCGCTGATCCCTCACCACTGTCCTCACCACCACCGTCCCACCACTGTCCGCACCACTGTCCCACTGTCCCCCGCACCACTGTCCCCACCACCACAGTTCCCACCACTGTTCCAGTATCCCCGCCACTGTCCAACTGTCCCGAGGAGCGGGAATCGTTTGCCGGCGGCGAGGGGGGGGGTTTGAACTGGTAGTGACGCCCCTCGGTTTTCGAGGGGGGGGGTCGAACCGGTAGTGCCCCCCCCACTTTCATGATGGACGAGGACGGGGGGCGGGAGGGGCTCGAACCGGTAGTGACCCCCCCTCCGGTTTTCGAGGGGGGGAGGGCGGGTTGGGAACCTCCAGTTCCCCCCCGGTTTTTCGCCAGCAGCGGTAGAGCACGCTCTTTCATCTATATGTGTGTGTACGTTAGCCCCCTTGTGGGGCCACCAGGCTGTAGGACGAAGTGTGTTGCTCCCTACACCTACAGCTCCACGAACACACGAGTCCACGGCACAAGAGGTCCCCAAGGCGGCCCAGCCGGGCCTGAAGGGGGGGCCCAAGAGATGCCCCAGAGGCGGAACGCGAACAGCAAATTCGAGCCCTCCGCCCCAAAACGACCGCCGAGACCGCCAGCAGGCACCCGAGAGGCCCCTCGAGAGGCTCCAATCAGGCCGCAGAGGACTGGCCCCGAGAGGCCCCCCAGGGCATCCCAAAGAGTCTCCAAGCGGCTTCCCAGAGAGAGGGGTGCACGGCGTGCCAGTGGAGACTCGGCCGATCGCGCTGCTGTCACTCCGAAAGAAAAATGTGCTCCATGGGCCTTTCAGCCCCAGAAGGACCCGCAGACTTCCCAGGTCGCCGATCTCCCCGCTCCTGACGGCCCTCCAGATGGCCTCCAAGACGGCCAAGATGGTCTCCAAGACGGCTACGATGGAGCCAAACAGAGCCCACACGATGGCTTCAAAGTGTCTCCGAGACGCGCCGAATTGACCCCAAGATGGCTTCAAGATCGCCGAATACGGCCCACGAGGCCTCCATGACGGCCAAAGAGGCCTTCAAGACTGCCCAAGAGGCCGCCAAGAGGACCTCCAGGAAGGCCCGACGAGGCCCAAATCATTGAGGTCCCCTGGGTGTTTGAAGAATTCTGGTTCTGCTCATTTCCGGCTTTGCCACCAAGATGGCCTCAAGAGCGTCCAAGAGGTCTCCATGATGGCCCCAAGACGGCCCAAGAGGCCCCCAAGACTGCCCCAAGAAGGCCCGAAGACGGCCCAGGGGATTTTTAAGACGTCCGAGATGACATCCAAG